GGCAATTCCTTGCCAGTCATTGATACGGTTTCGTTTTTCTCTTTGAACAAATCATTGAAAATATTCAATTCATTCTATTGTTCGTTCTATTCATCTGATAAATATTTCCCCATGAAAATACATTGCTCAATGGTGTATAAAATTCACCCATTTCCAGTCTTGCTACATCTTCTTCGAGTTCATTATTCACGTAGTTGGAAATTCAAACCAATAAAGTGGATGAATTCAAATAAACTTGAAGAAAATTACAAGTCACACAATGCGGAAGTAGACAACTCAAATGCAGATGCATACATTTGCTCTGAAATTGGCCATCTGCGGAAACATCGAGAATATTGTCAATAAAGGGGAATGTAGTTGACTTTGTCGGCAATTGCCATTGTGTTACTAATTTCGGAGATGGTCCCGAGAGCGCTAGGTAGCTCGAAGAGTTCTCGAAGTCTATTAGACTAACAACCCTTTGCTGAACTATTGTTTTAGGATCGAATCGTCTTCATATACTGTTATCGTAAATAATGACGCATTGGCGTGACATTCATTCGGAATTGCGAAAATATTTTTTATAAAAAATATGGTTCTAGGTTTATTTAGGTTCAGTGGAAGAGCAACTGAATGATGACTTGTCATCATGCAAATTGAACTTCGCCTTCCATCTTCTGTAACAATTTAATTGCAACTGATTAATTTTTTTGAAATGTATTTGAAGATAATGAAGACGATATTATTCTTTTTTCAACCCAAGTTCCCGTTGGTCAGGCTCTATTTCCCGAAGCCTCGATATATTCAGAGGGCTCGGCAGTATTATCAACCAAAGACCATTCCTCACACCGTGGGGTAAGTGATCATTGGGTCCTAGAAACATGTGTCCTTAGCAAGCGCAGCCTTCTGCATCAGCCCGGCTAAGATTTATGCCTCAGTACGGCAAGCCGGTATGATTCCGAGATTCGGGAGTAGGATTCCAATAATCAGAACATCCATCCTGACAGAGTGGTTTGCATGGAGTCTGCGGAGTTCAAACAAAAAATCTCGACATTTTATCGTTTTTCCTTTTCTTTTTGGACGATATTCGTCTCGTCAGAAGCTGAAAACTTTACGACAAATTTCGTCTTGCTATGGTGGTCGAAAAGGAATGCATCATGTTCATTAGCTTGTATAAGCTTGAGGGTGGATTAGAAATAGTTCCAATAAATTCAACACTTCTCTCATTTCTCACAACGGATTCAATATCACCTGGAGCTACACTGGTGTCTCGTCAATACCGTAAGAGTGGTGCCGTAGGTGATAATATATCACTTTCAGGGCCGTGTTATGTCGATGGATATTGGTCAAGACCGCATATGCTGGACATGCTGAGAGCAAGTGCATTAGGGTCTCGAACGCCTCGCGGCAGGCCCTAAACCTTGTGTCAGGAACTTCTACACCCATCACGCGACTGCTGTAGACTAAGGTGTTGAAGACACCATCCTGGTAGGCCATGATGAATATCTCAGTTTTCGACTTCAGCACTCTTGACCTGAGGAAAGAGAAAGTCAGTTGCTTCGATAAGCCAAAGTCTCCAATGTTATTGAAGAAGGCACCATGCACTTGCGTATCCTTATGTTGCTTTGTGTTGTTATTTTTATTATTATTATCTGTATCATTTTCAATAAACTACATCATGATTGAATGTCAATTTCAAGAGATTCTATTCTTTGATTCGGTTTTTCAAACTAAACTAGAGAATATTGCAATGTTGTTTACTTCGATAAGACATATACTTTTTTTATAATTCAAAATAAGCCTTTCACGTTCTTCGATTCTATGCGTTGTATTTTTTTTTGGCTCACCGTATAGATGTTTTTGGAAGAAATATGTCATGAATTGTCAAATGATGTGTTGTACTCTCGTATTTTTCATATATGGATAAAATTTCTTCACACCCAGAACGAGAAATCGTAAATCCTGACTCATATTTCCAAAATATATTTGTAGTTGGTGATTTATTTCATTAGAAAGAAGGTGAAGTGCAACATAGCGATGTATGCCACATTACTTTCCAATTAGGCGCAATCGGAAGATCGGAATCATAACACAGTTCTATGACAGTGATTGTAACAACGAACTAACCATAATTTTGAGAAGATTCCTTTCACATATAATTTACTGAATAGTTATTTACACATGATCTGAGAAAGTGTAATATCGTAAAAAAATTTCAAGTATGCCCACTGACTATATGTGAGAACTTATTTTATTCTTTTCACACCTGATGAAATGTGTGATTGATTGTGAACATGAAACATATTCGACTTTCTGATAAGGAAAAAAAGCTTGAAGAGGCCTAAAATATGCACAGGTAATTGATGGAGAAAACCGTTGTGGAATGGCTTATAAAATTGAATGAATAAGGTATATTTACTATTTGATACATCAGTTTTAGAATTGAAAAATATTCAAACAACTGATATTGTGTCTTATTATTCGAATTTTTTCAATGTCTGTTTTGATAAAAGGTGTAGTGAAGTTTGAACTGATATTTTAATTCAGATCTTTTAGTTGGAAATTCATTCAGAATTCTAAATTATTCATGGCTTTTTTGCAGGTTAGTGGAAAACCCATTTCATTCACGTCCAAATACCGTAAGTACTTTTTATGATCAGTTTCCAACATTGTAGCAACATTTCATTGTTTTGAGGCCAATAACTGGTTAGTTGGAGAATAATTATTGAATGCTATGTTCATCTTTGTTGTGATCATTGAACTCTGGCTATAACATTACTGAAAAATTGCACTAGTGCCAACAGTTTTTTAACTGAATCTTTGTTTCATTATATGAATCTAGATCAACTCATTTTTCATCCATCAAAAAAGTTACGAATCAACTCTTAGTCGTTATTAAAAATCATTAACCTCATTCAGACAGAGATTTCATTACATTTTTTCCATCATGAATCTTTTCTGGAAAACAATGAAATGGAAAAACATGTAAAATTACATTTTTTTGGGATTTATCCACCGTGAGCAACTGTGATGATTGATGTATTGCTATGTCCCTGTTTCCTTTTTACCTCACTGCAGTAATACATACAAATTATAATGATATTGTATCCAATTTTCACGCTTAATTTTGAGAGTCTTGAATTAATTTTTTAGAAATCCCACTTCTTTCATCTCCTAACCAATTCACCAGTAACTATTACGATAAGCTTACTTTGTGGGACAGACTGTGTTGGGATTCACGGTCAGTTGGTTTAGCTGTATTGTATCTATTGGTAAATACTTTCATTGATACTCGAACTGCTTTCCTGTATTTTATATTCGTATATAGAATTATTATTCATTTCGCACCATATTTGAATAGTCCGTTTAATTTATTGGAAATTTCAAAAGTCATTTCTTGAATTTTTTTGATGAATTCAACAAGTTATTGAATGCATTGGTCGCCTTTTTTGAATTGAAAGAACGTGATTTCATGAATGAAATGTCCCTGTTACTGTTTTCATATCTTATAATTGATATTATTATATCTCAGTACAATGTTATTCGAATCATTCTTTGTTTATAAGCGTATCCCATTATTGAATGAAGTTCTACTTTCTTCTAGCCGGAGGCGTAATGCTGATGACAATAATGATCCGAATATATTTCCGTACAAGCGGAACTAGGGAAAGCATATATTCGACTATCCATCAGTCATACATGAACCCTTCTGAGCTATATTTAACGATTACGGCAAATGTCGTCAGATTTTCATTCGACTGATTAACTTCAATCAATGAGAATAATTCGAATAGCAACTGAAGGAGATGATCTGATTACATTCCTATTTCCATTTCAACTTCGAAGAGAAATTAAATGTTCTGTTCAAGAGAGAGTATATAGCAACAAAGCGAGAAGTTTCTCAAATTGCTCGATTGAACTAGAAAATCTTTAGTAATAGACTGCTGGTGGATTTGGTTAGGGAATATTTGATGGAAATGCGTTGTTATTTAGAGATTGGTGTTATATTTAGTAACTCCTGAACAAGGAGTTTATGATTNGTGTCACCTTGAACATCTTCCACCAAGCCAGTGTAAAACTTAACAACTTTTTTCGTGGCGAATTTGACTAACACGTAATCGTTAGGCTCTATCGCGCTACCATCTATTTCATCGTCTGAAACGTAGTCAGAGCAGCCGCTGGTGTCATCAAGGGAAGGAAGTTCATCTTCTTCATCAGTTGACTCAAGGACTTCTCTATTTTTATTGGGTGTCTTAACACTCCTTATATTCCTCTGCTTGAGACCTTTGTCTTTCCCTAGAAGACCAGTCTCTTCTCCCAATAACTTATTTGGAACTTTTTCAAGTCTGTCTTTTTCTTTTTCTCCTTTATCTTAAGAGTGTTTTCTTTTTTGCGAGCTGCCTCTTCAATTTCTAATTTTTCTGGAGTATCAGTCAAAATACGTGTGCGTCCCCTTTTCTTCCACGAGATGATAGTGCACAAGGTGGTGCCTTTGAATATGGCATTATGTCACGAGGCGATGTATAGGAGGTACAGGGCTGGTCTTCTCCTGGCTTGGGCATGGTGGAGGTCTGTTGTTCTTCTATATGTAGGGAAAGCGAGAGATCGGAGGTGGAGGGCTGTCGATCTTTTTCTGGTTCGGGCGTAGAAAATACGCGTTGCCGTACAGTCGCTGGCGATTCGGGCTCTGATAGAGTTATATTTGCATCTTGCGCCTCCATCAAAGTTGGGTCAGTAACAGCGCTAGTTAAAAACTCATCGTCAGTGAAGATATCTTCATTGAACGGAGATGTTCCCGATACTCTGAATCTACTTAACACATTGTTTGGTGCCATGGCACGAGGGCATGCATATGATAAAAGTTCGGCAATTTCGTATATTGTTATGGTTTTGCCAGGATTATTTAACATGTAGTTGGATGCTGCATCAGAGTAATATGCCTTTAGTGGGCCGTAAACGGTTCTATCTAAAGGTTGGAGTTTGTGTGACGTGTGAGGTGGGATCGTCAGAAGAATAATGCCTTATTCCTTGCAATAATTCAGAGCTTGCAGTGAGCAGTGGCTTTCGTGGTTGTCTAAAACGATGAGATGCTTTCTTTCCTGATTAGGATTTGCAAAACGGACAAAATGTTCTAAAAACTTCAGGAAGACGTCGTTTGTCATCCAATCAGTTGGATAAGCAGCTCCATCGCTACCTGGAGGTGCACCTTTTGAAAATTTGTCCTGCCAATTTTTTCTGGGAAAAATAAGGAATGGGGGACTGTGACCACCGGCAGCATTTATGGCAGCGCAGACTGTTATAAGTTCACCGCGTTCCGCCGACGTTATTTTGCCGACTTGCTTAGTGCCTTTAGCTGCTATAATTTTGGACGGTTTATGAACCGTAGTCAACCCCGTCTCATCAATATTCCAGATGCGCTCAGGTGGAAAATCAAATCTGTTAAACACATCTTTCACTTTTCCGAAAAATTCCCCTTCAGTGGTTCTATTAAACGCTGTACTACGCGCAAGGCTAGTCGCTTCTGGGGTTCTCAGTGATAAAGAACCGTTCCTCGCTATAAAGCCCCTGTACCAGTCTCGTCCTGCTTGGTGATTTTTATCCCAAGATTCAGGATATTTTAACTGATTTCTGGAAGCATATGAATATGCTAACTGTCTTAATTGTTCAACAGTCAGGCCATAATACATTTTGGACATGTCTTCTAAAAACTTGTCAAGTTCTCTTTCCTGACTACTGGAAAAAACCTGACGCACTTTGAAGCCTGGAAGGGATGTCATTCCTTTTCTGCACAACCTCTTCAATGCCATAACGATGATGCCATAATACTTTGCAGTCGTCTTTAACATGCCACCTTCGTTTACGGCATTTACTGCCTTCTTAACCGCTTCCGGATCCGGTGGAACTCGTGTCTTCGCTCCTTCCTTTCTTTTGTATGGGCGCCCCATCTAAAATATTCGTAGGTAGTTCTTAATAAAAGTAGGAATCAAATAAAAGCATTGCGTGATACTTAATCCCAGGATCAAGTATCACCATGCACTGAGGGATCAAATATCACACTTTTACCATAATTATTAAAATAATTTCCACGATGCCGTGCACTTTTGTGCACTACTCTCCCCTACTTATTTGTTCCTGTCATTTTCATATACTTATTGTATTTACCTATACCACGTGCTTTTATTTATATTAATATTAACTGACATTTGTATTGTAAATGTAATAATTTTTATGACTTGAGTTTTATCAATTGTTTAAATTGAAAGCTTTAATGAATCTATCTATCTATCTATACAGGTTTGATATTGGTCACTTATATCACCAAAAATCATTTTCATTTTGGGAAACTATCTATCGATTATTTTTTTTTAAAGAATTCTGAAACTTATTCTTCAAAATAACTAACTTTACATAACTTTTTCGAGAGATATTCCAGTCTAATTTTTGCCAGCAGAGAGTCATCTGGTAATGGAAGGTTATTGTCAGTTGGAGAAGAAATTTCCGAAATGTCAACATTGATTTCGTTACAAAATAATGCTGTCAGTAGTTCGAAGAAGTTCCAACATTACAGTTCGGAAAAAATACTTCACCAGGTAGGGCATGTTCAAAAAAGGGTTTCAAATACTATTACACCATCAAAAATCAACTCTTGTCGCTTGTCAATGGAACATCATCGTCATATATAGGCTTCTACTGAAATATCGATCAGACCATCTTCGATGACTGAAATATGGATACCAAACGGATTCAGTTCTCCTATCGAGGGACCTGATTTGACACAATCAATATTATTGTAGATAAATGGGTGGTATAAAGGTTCGAAATTACAGGCGTGATTTTTATCGATACTCCTCAGCCGAATCAGTAGAATTACAGTACCTGTTGTTTCTCCAACAATGCATGAATCATTCATTCTAGTCTTTCTGTACTGTTCTATTGTATATCAGCTATAGCAGATCTTGTATACGATTTCTGGGAGCCGGTATCGAACAGCAACCTAGCATAACGATTTTTTCGTCTTTATGAAGAAAAACATCAATGCAGGCGTTGTCCAAAAGGGTATTTTTCACTCTGGTATCTTCTATTTTCGCAAACTTGACGCATGAAAGTTGTGTGTCGTCCTATCTAGATGAAACGTTTCTAAAGTTTGGTCTGTTTTTATGAGTCTACTTCAAACGCAGTGAGAACGCATTTGATTCCATCTAAATAAGCTCCATTTTAATCAGTGAACTTCTGCCAATGTAACACAAGTCAAATAACTATGTCAGCATTCAAATTGTATGCTTGGGATCCGATGAAGACGACAAACGCTGTTTTTGTCTGATCTTGATTGACGAAGGTTATCAAAGCGCTTGAAAAGGCGGTATTCGGTTGGCGAGAGTTGTGGGGAGTACGGTGGGTGTGATAGAACTTCGACACTCACTTCATTCAATTTTTGGACGGTGATTTTTGAAACGTGCGGAAGGGCGTTGCTGCTGTGATGGTTTGGCCCGGTTGCTGAACATTTTAAATAATCATACCAGCAAACCAACGACGAACAGTGCGTTCATCAACATCATCATTGCCAAATTCCTGCGTAATTTTTCAAACTGTTTGGGAGCGTTTTGGTTCAATGTGAATTCGTAGAGAAAATCTGGCTAAAAATCGCTCAACGGCATCACATAGTAATAGGCTGAAAAGAGGCAAAATATTGAAATGAGGGAAAAAATTAACAGCTCCATCATTGACAGATGGAGCTACAAAAACGCATGACATTGAAACGGACAAAACACTTTTGAAACAACTTAACATTTAGCATTTTTGGCTATCTGCATGCATACGAGTATGTAGCCCCTATATTGTTAATTCATGTAGCTCTTGACAGTACTAATTTGATTGTAAATTGCCACATTGAAAGTATGTTTCCTCAGATTAGATACAGCTGATCTAAGATTCTGTATAAATTCAAAATATTGTAGATAGAAACTCCACCTCATCCAGTAGTATTCAATTTCTAGACTATTACACTCATTCCAGAAATTTTAATTTTATTTCTGATGAGTTGAAAAAAATCATGAACGAAACTCATTGGTCTTATATAATTTTAATGTTACTTTCTCCTATGGTTGTTCTCTATAGAGTATCGAGTTTTTCTGGAGCGAATTCTATTGCTCATTTGACTTGACCAAATTACTTTTTTGTCACAGGTCTTTCAGTTTCCATTATCTTCTCTAAATGAACAGATACTTATCATAGTACGTAAAAACCAAACATACTATATTTCACGAATCATAACGATTTTCGAAGTTTCCAGTTTCATCAAAAGTTGATGGTTGGAATATTCATTACATTCATTATCCGTATGAAAAATGCAAATATCTTTCTTTCTGATTATTCATAGCATTTCTGGAGAGACCATAAGAATGCATGTGATTATAGAGTTTCGGATATAATATTTCATTTCCCTCATTCTCGAATAATTATAACTTTGATATTTTTTACGAAAATTTGAAATTCATCAGATTTCATACATAAACATGAGAATAAACATAATTGTAGTCTGAACAAATATTGTTTCACTTATACTTTTGCCAGTGTTTGAATAATTAAATTATATAATTAAAAATAATTTCAGTGAAAAAATAGTATTTTTCGAGTTTGACACTCAACAGTTTCTCATTGAAAATATGTCTACACTCAATTTCATATTTGGATATGGGAGTTTTAATTTTTTAGTATATATTCTCTTAATATAGTATCATGTGACATTTCTCAAAGTAAGTTGTACTTTCATAATAATGTTCCTGCAAATCAACACTACTGTGATATTGTAAGATCTGATGCAAATTTGTTTCGATAATTATAGGATTTCGATTGCAACAAAGCTCGAGTGGACACGTGGAGAAAAAATTGAATTCTAGATAGGAATACCCATCGAATTGTTATAAAAAGTATACCAACATATTTCAAAATAAACCTATGTTTTTGATTAAATTCATCATCAATTGATATATTCGCAAGGGTTTATTGTGGCTCACACCTATTCACACTCGACCAAATAAACCCAGCTTCTTAACGAAGCTGATTAGTTTGCATGGTGAGTGGTCTTTCAGGTCAGATGGTAAGAGTACGGCTCTGCCAAACTCTAAAGACCTGATTTGGTCACCAGCGGGGCGGGCACAAAGTATATGCTCTGTTATGAGGTAGTCGGATAGTCAAGTTGCAAGATTTCCACCTTGATACACACGACAACCTTCCCATACGAGGGTTTTTGCAAGTCAACTACACCTGACGATGCCTTAGATTCAGCAGTGCAGGGCTTTTTTGCTTCTGATTTTGGTGAATCATCACTGGAGCGCAAACGAATGCTAACCTGCTCATGGGGGGTTTTTCCTGCACCTGAGACAGATTCTGCGTACGCCGCTCAAGAATTGCAAGGCGATTTAAGGTACCCCGCTCTTGAGGAGACGACTCAGTCGTTTCCTGACTGCTCCACCAAACCTTTTTTTAAAGGTTCAGTTGTTGGATCAGGAGTTGGGGAGTTGAGAAGTTCTCGCTCCTGTACTAAATTTACAGGGAGGTCAGTTGGAGTCGTAAACTCGACATCCATCTCCTCTGTAGACTCGCTCCTGATCTAAATTTACAGGGAGGTCAGTTGGAGTCGTAAACTCGACATCCATCTCCTCTGTAGACTCGCTCCTGAACTAAATTCACAGGGAGCTCAGTTGGAGTCGTAAACTTGACATTTATTTCCTCGGTAGACTCGCTCCTGAACTAAATTTACAGGTAGGTCCGTTGGAGTCGTGAACTCAACGACATCCATCTCCTTTGTAGACACGCTCCTGAACTAAATTTACAAGGAGGTCTGTTGGAGTCGTAAACTTGACATCCATCTACTCTGTAGACTCGCTCCTGAACTGAATTTACAGGGAGCTCAGTTGGAGTCGTGAACTTGACATTTATCTCCTCGGTAGACTCGCTCCTGAACTAAATTTACAGGTAAAACTCAACGACATCCATCTCCTCTGTAGACTCGCTCCTGAACTGAATTTACAGGCAGGTCAGTTGAAGTCGTAAACTCGACATCCATCTCCTCTGTAGACTCGCTCTTGAACTAAATTTACAGGGAGCTCAGTTGGAGTCGTGAACTTGACATTTATCTCCTCGGTAGACTCGCTCCTGAACTAAATTTACAGGTAAAACTCAACGACATCCATCTCCTCTGTAGACTCGCTCCTGAACTGAATTTACAGGCAGGTCAGTTGAAGTCGTAAACTCGACATCCATCTCCTCTGTAGACTCGCTCCTGAACTAAATTCACAGGAAGGTCCCTTGGAGTTGTAAACTCGACATCTATCTCCTCTGTAGAATCGCTCCTGAATTAAATTTACAGGCAGGTAAGTTGGAGTCGTAAGCTCCTCTATAGATTCATCGTCAGAAATAATTTTTAATTTTACTCTCTCCATGAAAGTCCCACGAATAGCTAGGGAAAGAAGGTCAATTACGGCAGAGCCCCGCATTACCGAGACAAGGTTATCAACCGATTCTGCTAGTATTTTTTAAATAGGTAGTTAATCAATTCTCCCTCTTTGTAAATTTTGAATTTGTAGTAACTTTTCATGAGGGGTCCTTTATTACTGTTCGTTTGAATAGAATATTTTTGAAAAAGCATCTCAGATACGAAGAAAATCTAAATATAGTAATAATTATAGTTTCTTTTGACTTTCAGTTTTCATGTATTGCTTTTTTGTGGAATTGGCCGCGGTGGTAGTGCGCCCGACTCACGATCGGAGGACCGTGGGTTCGATTCCCGCCTCGACCAGATATTTTT